TGAGCATGGAACCGCACTTTATTGACATATATAGATATATATTCTAAAGATACAACATGTAAATTTATTTATGTTGAAAATACATACAATACATATTACAATACTTATTAAATAGTTCTTCCACAATCTAGTATTTCATTTGTCCATTCATTTTTCTGTATTTTTGAATAAAATTTATTTAAATATTTAAAGAGCCTAAAATTAAATAACTGTAATAAATGTATTTTATTTTATTTATTGTAAGGTAAAGACCTGAAAAAGATCTGTGAATGTTATACTTATTATTTAAAGAATATATATTTATTCTCAATTAAATTATAACATGAAGCTAGTAATTATTTCAAACAAATACTAATGAACAGCGAAGCTGTAAAATATTTCGTTACATTATGATTGTGGAAGAAGGGAACTCAATAATATTATATTATAAATACAATGAACATCAATTCAGTAAAATATTAAATCAGTAAAATATTTCATAGTAGAAAAGAGAATTCACTATTACATTATATTAATGAAATAAAAATAATTCAGAAGAGTACCACCAACTCACTATAAAATCTTTAACTTCCAAAAGCGAGTATAAAGCATAAGTTTATTACCTGTAAGAAATAGACATGATACTCTTTTGAGCATGGAACCGGACTGAGAATAAAACAGCTCAAAGCCTTTTTATATTCTGGAAGCTGCCTAATCACAAGTGCTACATCCAGTCTCAAAAGATATTTGTCTAAAATGACGCGTGCTTCTTGCGTGCTTTCCAAGGACAGGTTTAACTTTATATCAAGTTTTAGTGGGGGGTAGAGTGTGAGTGTGGACGGTATTTTTCCAAGTAACGACCTTTTGGATCATGTCCATAACTTTCCAGTGGTCATTCACATTGTAAACCTAATTAATTTAATTATTCCCTATGGTGATTATCAATTACTTTGTTCCCAACTTCACAACGAAATCTAATAAGGTTTTATTGATTAAATGGTGCAATAAAACATCATTTGACTTCTATCCGATTGAACTGGCTTATTAATTAGGCTTTTTCCATTACCAAGTGAAAGCTGAACAATAATAAATGCTTAATCTAAATTCATTTCAATGTCCTTATTATATTCAGGATATGAATTATTGATTGGAGCACGCTTCTCCTACACTCCAATCAATATCAAAGCACTAGCTTAAATTTGGATGTTTTTATCTTCCAATAACTAGAGATTTCAATATGTTGTACACAAATTAATATTTTCGTTTCTTTCTTTTAGAATTGAGATCTTGATAGAAGCCTTAGATCTATTTTGAATGTTTTATGCAGATGATTTAATTTGCATTGCCAGATTACCCAATAGGCAGAGAAGGCACCGGCCTATGGGCCCCACACCTTCTAGGGGAAGCGCAACAACGGATCAAAATAATATTGAATTGATTTGATCTTGATGTATTAGGAGAGAATTTGCCAGAGAGACGCCGAGATTTCGACTGCCTAGGGGCCTTCATATGGTTTAATCCGGCACTGTTTATTTGTCTTTCCTGACGCTGCTTATCAGCTGCAAAATATGATCAATAGGCTGCATACCTATTGCCTATAGTGAAAATTAAAAGTGAATATGAAAAAAGTGGTTGTATTTCGCGGAGATGGCTATCTGAAAAGTATTAAGTATTATAAAAGTATTATGACCATACAGAGGTTAAGATTGAATCATCTTATAATAAATGTTATATGTGCCAGAATGCTCTATCCTTGCAGGTGTTGAAGAAAGATTATGCAGGGCTGTAGAGAGCGATCACGGACCCTGGTGTAAGAAACACCCGGGCCTCTCCTAGTTCTTGTTCAAACAAAATTTTTCTTTTATAAAATTTTAAAAAATGTTCGGTCAGGGCCCCCTTAAGTCCTTGGGATCGGGGATATTTCCCCGGTTGTCCCTCTTCATCACCTCTTGTCGGCCCAGAGACTATGAATATACTGAAGCAAAGTCTTTCAAAAGTTGGCACATTACCCACAACTCGGTTGCTTCGTCTCTTTTATTCGAAGATAGCTCCCATCCTCAGCTATAAGCTGAGGCTTGGGGTTTTACGATGCCAATGAGATTAAAACTGTTCATTTGTCATTTTGTAAATATATTCTTGCTACCTCTAAGTATACTATTTACGATGCCAATGAGATTAAAACTGTTCATTTGTCATTTTGTAAATATATTCTTGCTACATCTAAGTATACTCTTTACGATGCCAATGAGATTAAAATTGTTCATTTGTCATTTTGTAAATATATTCTTGCTACATCTAAGTATACTCTTTACGATGCCAATGAGATTAAAACTGTTCATTTATCATTTTGTAAATATATTCTTGCTACATCTAAGTATACTCTAAAATGCATTCGTATATAAATTATTTGGAAGAATTAGAAGGCATAGTGTACGATATAAACTTATTTTGAAATATTGGCTAAGAATTCTAAAAAATGTCAGAAGACTGATATCCTAAAAAAATGCTACAATTGACAGTTAACATGGGAGTGGGTGGGTGGATTGTGATTGCTGATCTAACAGTATTATAAAGCTTCTATTTACATTTCTTTGATTGTTCAGTCAGAGATGTGAAAACATTTTTAGGTAAGAGATGCAAGTTGAGAGTAAGTGGATGGAAAGACTGCGTTTCTATAAGTGATTGGGAGTAGATTCACTTGTCAAAGACATTAAGAATTGTTTAGATATAGCGATTTTTGTTATAAAATCACTATACTAAGAGTGGGGAACTTGCCAGTCAAAAATATCACGGGAATATATGAAAGTATTTGTAACGTTAATATAAAAAACGACTTCAATTTTATTACTGCTTTTTCGCTATATGGAGAATTTAAAAAAATTATTTACCCACCTTTGTATATAAAAATCCAACTTGAGAAAAATCTAGGACTATTTATTTTATACATACAAAAAATGATACTAGTAACTTTATGGTGACTAATTTAGCAATGTTTACTATAAAAGCCGTAGAGATTATCTCCTTATATATAAGGCTCTAGATTTTTAGGTAAGTGTATCACTGGCCAGTGGTCTTAAAAGAAAATAATATAAATATTTACAACTACTAACACATTCAGCTCGAAAAAGATTAACAATTTGGGTCTTACGGTGACTTGACCGGTCTTTCGAAGCAAAGTCTCGGTAAAAGAAAGAGAGCTAATAATACTTTCCAATTCTCTGACGTGTTTGTTGAAATAAAGCATGATCAAGTGAAAACTATCTTTATCCGGGCATTTCATGAAAGATACACTGTATTAGATTTTGAGCTTTTATTATCGTTGGTTTCAGCTGGTCCCCGTATCTTTTGGCATCTACTGCGGTAATGAGATGACGTCATCTAGGTCAGACGTTGAAACTCTTCCGTCTTGCAACCGACAGCCTGGTTTCGCTTTGATGCTTCCATCGGTGACCAAGAGATGTCGCTGTTTAGTGCGACTGAACGCGCATGTATAATTGTAGCTATACACCCCTTTCTCAAACAAATATTAGGAGGACTATACAACTGTTTAGTCTCTTACATTGACTAACACAGTTTAATGTGATGATAAAAATTCGCAAACCAAGCATTAAGTTAAGATATTATACAGTGATACAAACATTATCTAAGTACTACTTTTTCAATCGTTTAAAATATTCTTCCGCTGCTCACCTGTAAAAATATCTTGCCGACTTGCCGGTAGCAAAGTGGACACTCCTATATCGAAAAAAGTAAATAATTGTTATATTTACGTCATCGAGCAAAAAAAAAAAAAAGACAGGTACGTATAAAGATTTTTGAGTAATCTAAACATACACGTAGTTATATAGGACACTAATATATATGTTTAACATGAATTAACTTTCACCGGTCTTGTTGGCATCTACCTGTTTATAGTACAGGAAGTTGACACCTCTCCAGGTGTAACAGCCTCGTATCCGAAAAATGACGGTCGGATGTCTTTGCTTTTTTAATCAGTTATGTCTCAAATTTAATTAGACATATTTGTGAGTAAGTGAGAGATGAATTCTTATAAATCGATTTAGCTTAGTGGTATATATTTCACTGGTGTATTTTCTTTGAAAGTCACACTGTTAATGTAAATTTAATTGTGGGGTGGGGTTAATTTTCTAGCACAGCCGATTTCAGGTGTCAGATAATGCTGGTACAGGCGGCATTGAAATGCAGAGGTTTGGGAGAGCAGGAGTGACATTTGTCTAAATGCACTCCCACCCCCTCAGTACTTGCCCAGGCAAGACTGGGTCTAATACCTCATTGTGCCCTTTGCTCCCATTTCCTTGGCATGATATAGCAAATAATATTACAAATTTGTTGTTAAAGTACAATCAACAACAACGCCTCCCCAACCATCCATCTAATTGTATAATTACATCTTAGGACTAAGATGGTGTTGTTATAGCAACCTTTTCCCATTTTTCCTTATACCAGTTTATGCAGGTGTATATACATTGTTATGTATATGTAATATAATTATTTTTTAGTTTAATTTTTTTATTTTATTTTATTTTATCCATTACACGTTATTGTAATTATAATTTTGTCTATTGGATTTGATAAATTTTTTTAGGAAGTCAGTTCTGTTTGACCTGATAAACAGCCATTAGTAGAAACATTGTATCTATTTGCTAACCTTGATTCAGAATCAATGTCAGTTTTGAGTACACAACTTTTTTTGTATTATGTGCCATGAATGAGGATGTGTTGTAAACGATATCATAAGTTTTAGATGAGAATGAATAACTTTCCTCAGCACTAGCAGGAGTTTATCTGTTTGCAGCTTCCCTGCATTTTACAAAACACAAGACCTCCTTCACTCTGTAATGCTCCAGTACAAACTCACATTTTTATTGCTTTAATGCAAACTCACCGACACTCTATATTACTCTAATGAATTTATTGCATCACTTATTGCTTTATTTTTGTACAAAATGACACCACTTCCTTTCCTCAACTATCAGGGTGACTAAGCAACAGATACAACCATTCTGGTGGCCTAGTGGTTAGAGCATCTGCATAAGATGCAGGAGGTTGCATGTTCAAACCCTGGTCAAGCCAAACTAAAGACTTTAAAAAATGGTACTAATGCTGCCTTGCTTGGTGCTCAGTAGGTAACTGGGCATTAAAAAATAATGATGAGGACCCATTAACAAAATTAATTTGTTGACAGCACTTTCAAAATATTTATCATCAGCAGCATGCAGGTCTGAGTTGCAGCTCTAGTCTATATTTAGGAGTAAGACCACCCATTATACATCAGTGGCCCACTACAAAATGGCTGATGGACGCTGGGCTAGTGGGGAAACTTAGGTTATAAATGTCTTTCATGTTCTAACAAGTACCCTGTTACTCCTTAAATGTTGCAATAGGTACCCAGGTGAGGTTTTCCATGGTTTTTCATTGCCCTAGTGCTTAGCATTAAGAGGTTAGTGTTAGGACTGGTCGGCCTGGTGTCAGGATAATGTGACTGGGTGGGACATAATGCCACATATCTGCAGCATGATGCCCCAGTGCTTGACATCACTATAAACCATCACACTGCAGACATCATAGTGATATGACTGAAAATTTTTTAAAGCTTTATTAAAAATCTAAATCACACACAAACAATTCAACACACATACACACACACACACAGCAATTAGTACATATTTACTCTGTAGATTACATTTTGACTGATGGGTCCAAAATTCAATTTATTTTGCCATATTTCTCACAGTTGCCTAATTTTCATCACTATAATCACACTTAAGTTCAAAATTTTGGATTTGTGTTTAAGTAAAATTGAATCTTGAGAACTTTATGCCACTTAATAATTTAGTATCACAAATCTGGCATGTTCCTCCATGACCTTTTTAATGAAATGGCGACAGAATCAAATTACTTCCTGTTCCTCATAGTGAAGATGGAAATTTGATCTCTGCCAGGTTTTAATCAGATCAGACTTCTGGTAGGAAACCCTATTTTTGTCTTGCACAGTATAAACTATTAATTTACCTGAAAGTAGTGCTAAAGCAAAATTGATTTTTGCATCAGTATGATATCATTAACAAGATGAAACTGTTGCTATGGAAATGTACATTGTTATCATTTGTGCAGAGACTGAAGTATAGTTCATGACCTGTGTTTATATCATGTGCAAAAACTGATTAAATTGACTTGAATAAAGATGTAGCCAATATGATTAACACAGAAGTTATGTCTGACTCCGTACAATTTTAATTGCATTCCTTGAATACACATAGCAGATGCATGCTGTTGCCATTTGATTTCCACAACTTTCACAATTAATTGACTTTGTATTGGTTGTTTTACAATAAAACAACACTTTAAAGGTTATATTGAGCTGATTCAGGTAAACAGCTGTTTGTCAAAAGGCCAAGGCAGCTAATCTGAATTGGTAATTGGACCTGTTATGTTGATTATTAGACCTATGCCCCTCTGGTCAGTGTTCTAGCGCCTCAGTCATTGTAATAAAATTGGAATCACCACAAGAGTAGGATAAAATAAATGAAGTGTAGCTAGCAGTTTTTGGCAACAAAAGTCCTATTTTACCTTTAAGCTAGCTTTTGCTTTGTCCTTAAATTAATACTTAGTTAAAAGTTATTGTTGCAGGTGTGTAATAAATAGCGGTATGTATTGTTGCAGGTGTGTAATAAATAGTGATAGGTATTTTGCAGGTGTGTAATAAATAGTGATACATATTTTGACAGTGTGTAATAAATAGTGGTATGTATTGTTGCATGTGTGTAATAAATAGTGGTATGTATTTTGCAGGTGTGTAATAAATAGTTGTATTTTGCAGAATATATGCTAGCAATGCAACTGTACATTGTCAATTCTTAAACATAGCCTTAATTGCTTTGTTTTCCTGATTTTATTGAAAGTTTTCTGGTGTAAACTTCATGTACATGTAGATGGATTAAAGAGCTCAGAATAACTGCAATTGTAAAGCATGGCAAATTTCTAGTTATAAAGTTCTAGTCATAAATCTTTAGATTTAGAATGCTGCTAACATTTCATAGTAGTTTTTATGTACATCATATACATAGTAGTTTTTATGTACATCATATACATAGTAGTTTTTATGTACATCATATACATAGTAGTTTTTATGTACATCATATACATAGTAGTTTTTATGTACATCATATACATAGTAGTTTTTATGTACATCATATACATAGTAGTTTTTATGTACATCATATACATAGTAGTTTTTATGTACATCATATACATAGTAGTTTTTATGTACATCATATACATAGTAGTTTTTATGTACATCATATACATAGTAGTTTTTATGTACATCATATACATAGTAGTTTTTATGTACATCATATACATAGTAGTTTTTATGTACATCATATACATAGTAGTTTTTATGTACATCATATACATAGTAGTTTTTATGTACATCATATACATAGTAGTTTTTATGTACATCATATACATAGTAGTTTTTATGTACATCATATACATAGTAGTTTTTATGTACATCATATACATAGTAGTTTTTATGTACATCATATACATGTTAGCTTTTGTCTTAGCAATGTGCCCCACATAATGCATACAGTATGTACTTGTTGATGAGTCAAATTACAAACTAAACAGACCCAGATCTACGGTTGCATAATGTTACAGCAGTTCTTGGTTTATGCAGTTTCTTAGGAGCAATCAGTAGGAAAAAAAAGATCCTAACCTGCTGGCACATACCATAGCAGGTCATGGTCTGATATTTGCATTTTATTTTGTGTACTTTGTATTCAAGTAACTGTATGAGCACAGGCTGTATGAGATCATGACATTGTCTTTGTTATGTATGATATTCAGTCGCTGCCTAGGCCCAGCACTAGGATGTGCAGGGCCCAAGGCAGCAAGGGATGAGCGCAGGGCTCCATGAAAAATAAAATGCATTGTTTAGAAGTACTGGGCCCTAGGCAGTTGCTTCCTTTGCCTTGCCCTAGGGCGGTCTGTCAATGTAAGTACTTCAGTAGCTAGCAGTTTGCACACAGATGTGTACATTACATAAAATTTACCTTAGTCTTTCAGATTATATGAGATATTAAACTTGTACATGGTCTAGAACACAGAGTACTTCAAACTAAACTTGAGATTTCAAACTAAACTTTTGATTGTAATATTAAATTAATATATTTAAGGGACAAATGATATCATGTATAACATTTAATATACATATATGACACAAGATTTAATACACATATATGATAAAAAATTGAATTCTCACTATCATTCAATGTAACTATTGCTTAATGGTCTAGGAATTGCCAAAAAGCTATCTACAAGTATTTAATAGCCCTCTTAAAGTAATCTGGTTTTAAGTCCATGAAGATGTTATTGAACTATTTATCACAAGGATTCGTCACCTGTGTGTTTTAAAGTTCTCTGTTAGCTCTGATAAGAGGGAGGTACTGAAAAACTGACTGGCGGTTAAAGATATCAGTTTCCTGATGAACTTGGATTTATACATGACCAAGTATACACACATGCACACAAAATCACAGCCACACTGACACTGAATAAAATAAACCAGTTTTCTGTATTTAGGATCCATTGAACTCTGGAACACAGTATTGTAGATGCTGACTTAATACTGTGAGTAATTCGTTGAAGGTGATGCAAATGTCATTACACTTCATCTTTGCACTCACTAGAGACTGGGTAATCTTGTTCGACCTTCCCTAAAAATCTTGCTGGACTTTCTCAGTATTGAAAATGATCATTCTGCATATTTATTGCTGTAATGGAGTATCAGACTTCTTTTTCACAGCTGAATATATTAGTAGTATCACTTTTTGGGAATGTTTACTTGAATGGGTCTGAAAAAGGACCTGCAACTACAAATGGCAGATTGTGTTCTGTCAATGATTGTTAAGTTTAACAACCTTTTTGTTCTTCACTATACATATCAGATTTACCTAGCATCAAAGAGTTTGTGTACTTGATCTATGGAAATTAGGCTATTGGGCTTGTTCTCAACAATGTTAAAATGTCTAGAAATACAAAATCACCATTGGCTTTTTCACAATAATGTTAAAATGACTAGAAACATAAAGTCACCCTTGGCTTTCTCACAATAATGTTAAAATGAATAGAAATATAAAATCACCCTTGGCTTTCTCACAACAATTGTTAAAATGACTAGAAACACAACAAAGTCACCTTTATCAGTCAGTTTAAGTGATCTGAGGAATGATGGTTATTTGTCTTGGATTGCCTTTTAAATGCCTCTAATAAATGTACATGTATAAAATGACCAGTGGTCATCTGAAAAATTTTCCACAGCATTAAGCATCAAGCTGTGTCAGTCATGGCTATTTAAACATACTACAGGTTAAGGGCATATAGTGCAGATTTCAAGAAAGGGCATTTTTTTTCACAATATGTATTGGCTATCATGTATTTATTAGAATGACCATGTTAAGTACTCAGGGAACAAAAAATTCCTACTTTTGTCACACCAAAAAATGGCAGTTATTAAATGGCCATAGTAAGATCCCACATTCAAAATTCCATCAGACTTTTGCAGTTAATTCCGGACATATGTATTAATTATTTCCATAAATTCTGTACAAAAAAGGTACTGCAGATAAATGTATTGTGATGTCAGTCTTTTTCACTTGTAAAAGAAAAATGTAATGAAAATTGTCATAGTTTTCACCCACAAAGATTTATCTTCAATATTTTGGGTCAAATTTCATTAAGGTTGACGTTGCACTTTCCTCCATGTATCACTAGTTTTTAAATAAATGGATGGACTTTAAAGGCATCTGTAACTGTTGTTTGGCAAAAAGAAGCAGTGTATTGCAGTTGTTGCTTGACCACTGGTCAATTTGCCCTTAGAAGGCTATTGTTATGCTGTGAATGCCAACATAGATTTTAAAACTTCCTTAATGGATGGTCAAGGGACTACCTTATTGGATGGTCAAGAGACTACCTTATTGGTTGATCAAGGGACAATCTTATTAGATGATCAAAGGACTACCTTATTGGATGGTCAAGGAACTACCTTATTGGTTGATCAAGGGACTACCTTATT